TCATTGTACCTCACACTCTTTAGCGCCCCAAAGGCTCCCAGAGTGACTTATTGGTACATACAATGACCAGATTGCATAGTTCTGGGGTTGGAGTTGCCTGATGGAGCTGGGCTTTGAGCTCTGCTTCCCATCTCCCCCACTGATTAAAGTGGCAATATCCGCAATATATACACAAGGACATGCAAGTAATACACAGACCTCAACTCATCTGATGACCTTAATAGGTGGGACAGAAGGGCCCCCAGAGTCAAACTGTGACTGTTTACAGGGGTGTGTGTGTGTGTATATATGTGTGTGTGTGTGTGTGTGTGTGTGTGTATACCGTATTTTTTGCTCTATAAGATGCACCAGACCACAAGACACACCTAGTTTTTGGAGGAGGAAAATAAGAAAAAAAATATTCTGAATCTCAGAAGCCAGAACAGCAAGAGGGATCGCTGCGCAGTGAAAGCAGCAATCCCTCTTGCTGTTCTGGCTTCTGTGATAGCTGTGCAGCCTGCATTTGCTCCATAAGACGCACACACATTTCCCCCTTACTTTTTAGGAGGGAAAAAGTGAGTCTTATAGAGCGAAAAATACGGTATATTTAATGCACAAGATTACTGAACAGCAATATTTTGTCACTCTAATCTGCAGAGAAATATAACTAAATGGCTAGCCAAGGATATGGAAGACTCGGGATCAATGTGTACCATCACCAGGCCTGCATATGACCATGCCAGTTGCTTTCTCACTCCTTCTTTATCATGGATCCTGTTTTGGTCTCCCCTGTAAACCTTTCACGTGTGGGTTGAATAATGTGCAGGAGTGATGACTGGGGGTGGCCCAGGAAGCCTGAGGCATGGGTCTTTTGAACTGGGCCCCAGACATCCTGGACCATCTTAATTTGCTCAGAGGCCTAAATTTGTATCTATGCATATAAAGCAAGAGAAGTAAATTTTATGCAAATGTTTGTCATGGGGCTGTGCCCTGAGCTGTTAAAGTACCTAGCAACATCTCTGGTTAAGTGAAACAGAAATTGCTCATAGCAAACGGTTGTGATAACCCGTTTCTTATTACTGTGGAAATAAAAAGGGACTGTCGCAGAGGGTAAATCTGTCAATTTTGGTTTCCAATTTTTTTGTCTTTAATTCAGTTCTCCACATTCCCTCATCAGTTTGTGATCTTAGAAAAAACCCTGCATTTTTGTGCAAAGTGCTTTGTTTGTATGCAATGTTCTCGAACACAATGCCTTTTTGTAAGCTATTTTCACAAACATATGCATTTTTATGGATACAGTGGTACCTCGGGTTAAGTACTTAATTCGTTCTGGAGGTCCGTTCTTAACCTGAAACTGCTCTTAACCTAAAGCACCACTTTAGCTAATGGGGCCTCCTGCTGCTGCTGCGCCGCTGGAGCACGATTTCTGTTCTCATCCTGAAGCAAAGTTCTTAACCCGAGGTACTATTTCTGGGTTAGCGGAGTCTGTAACCTGAAGCGTATGTAACCTGAGGTACCACTGATTTTTACCCTAGTAGATACACTTTTGTACACATTACTTCACTGGGAACTGCATTGTAAAATTCAGAAAAGTGAAAATTTCCAACAATGGCTGTGTTTTTATTTGTATACTGTTTTGGAAATGTCAACTTTATATGCAAACTGAACTGAATATCTTCCCCATACCTATCCTCAGATGCAAGCTTGGTCCCGTGCTCAAATTTGTTTACTAAACCTCAAGGGGGGAAATGTACTGATGAAGACATGTTGCATAACACAACTGGAAAAAAGTTATGCTTCTCTAGGTGGAACCCAACATCTGAGACTGAGCTAGTATTTGTTGGAATATTTAAAAAATGCAACAGCAATGTCTGTGAGATGGGATTATGGTCTGGGAGACTTTTTTTCTTAAGAATAATGAATCAAAGCATCATTACTCCACATATAGTACAAGGCAGATATTACTTAGGAAGACACTGATAGCTAGCTACATACAATTTACTGTCCCAACCAGAGATGCCTGGATCAAAAGTTGTGTGTAGCCAGTTCAATGGTGCTCAGATGTGGAGGCATCTAAATCCACATGTAGCAGATGCATTTGGGCACATGGATGTCCTCTGCTAGACCAGGGCAACTAACTCTGCCTGGCATGCAGTGCCAGGACCTGAACAAGGGCTGGGTAGAACACTCAAATTAATAAAAGCTGGAAGCTGGCTGGCAGGCAGTGAGGAATAATCATCTGACTTCCCTACAGCTGATGAGCAAGAGCAGGCCCTGTGATTTAGATGGGAGGAAAAGGAGGAGGCGGCAGATGATCAGAAGGAAACCAGACCTCCCACCCAGAAGGGTTTTCTACTGATTTCTGTGCTGGTTTGTTGCCATATGTTTTACTTTGGGACTGTAGCTATACTTTATTGTTTCTAAATTTATGAGCTGCCCAGAGGACATTGCTAATTGCCCATCATATCTAAATGCTAAAAATAAATAAGTCAAGCTCACTTCTGGTACTGGATACTAGCAGGGGAGAAAATCTTATGGGGGGAAAAGACTGGAAGGGAAGGATCACGGGCAGGGAAGGATTTAATACCCCAACTGCACAGTCTTTTTGCTTCAAAAATCAGACCTGCTGATCCTACTTTATGCATGACTGGGAAACAACCATGTTTAAATATACAAAGAGTAAGTCAGACCACTAATATTTGTCCATTTTTGAGTGTCACATTTTAAAATGGATGGAGACAGCTTGGAGAAAATATACACAGAAGCATAAGAAAATACAGTCAGGATGTAAGCTGGGAAATGTGTGTTTATTATTGAGAGCAGAAGATTAAAACTGCAAACCTTTGTAGCTATTTAAAGATGGCAGTATTTAATGTAGAATGAGAGGCAAAGGTCACAATCCAGCACAGATTTGAATCAGTTGCCTTACATAGCCCCTACCTATGGCATTTTTACTTGAATGTCAATCTCTCTGTGTTCAGTGGCACTTACACACTTGGAAGTTCGTCTAGGGCTGCGGTCAGAGACTGCAGTTCTATGCGTGAGACACGATGGCAGGGGTGGGGAGTTTGTAGCCCTCCAAATGTTGCTGTACTCCAACTCCCATGATCCCTGGAATGGGGCAGGCAGGCGTTAAAGTCTAACAACATCTGGAGGGCCATGGGTTTTTAGCAATTTTTGTTTAAACTTTGTTCACCACCCTGAAATTTTATGATATGGCGGCATAGAAATACTTCTATAAATAGGTACCAACAAACAACTAAATAACTGAATATGAGCTGACTTAGACCCTGCAATCTTCACCTGAGGTCCTTCTTTGTGTGCCTCCTCCATGAGAGGTCTGGAGGGTGGTAACATGAGAATGGGCCTTTTCTGCAGTGGCTCCATGCTAGTGGGAATGCTCTCCTCAAAGAGGCCGCTTGGCGCCTTTGCTACATACAGTATCTTTAAACACCAGACAAAATCATTCCTCTTCTCCCAGGCCTTTGTTTAATTAGCCAATCTATCTCAAGAGGCAGCTGAACCTATAGAGAACAGCAGGCAGGAAGACAAACCACTTTCCAAACTACAGCTAGTCTAAAACATTAGGGTGGAATAGCTTGAATTATCAAAGAAGCCCCATTTCTGAGAGAGCTAAAATACAGCTACTTGGCATAACCAGGAATTTTGGAGACTGTTGACAGAGCTGGTTCTCCTATCCTGCTCTTATTCTCAGACTTTGTTGCTTTTGGTTTCGAGTTATTTTCTATTCACTGTCTTTTCCAGGCAGAGCTAGGAGAGACACCTGCCATTTAATATGGACAGTACTGAGCCAGATGGGCCAATGCTTGGATTCAGTATACGGCAGATTCCTATGTAAAAACAGCAATAACTATTAAAAGTAATAACTACAACCATCAGCTCTGCTAGAGGTAGTCGCCATATTGTATTGCAAGGAATTCCCTACATTAATTGGGCACTCAGGATATGCCATATCCAGACATGATAGAGGTCCTGGTCATTGGGAATTTCAGATGTTTGGGGATATTTAGTCAATCAGTTCTGGAAGATCATGTTCACAATTGGGGTGGGTGGGTCTTCTTTTATCCACGGATATATTTTGTAGATTTGGACTTGCCTAAAGAGAAAATATCAGGCTTTGGTCAATCCTGCATTATATCCTCCAGTATACCTGAAGGCGTGTCTCCACCCCCAGATGAGGTTACAGGGAACCAGGCAGAGGGCGTTCAAGGTAGTGGAGCCTGCCCTGTGGAACGCCCTCCCATCAGATGTCAAGGAAATAAACAACTATCTGACTTTTAGAAGACCTCTGAAGGCAACGCTGTATTGGAAAATTTTTGATGTCTAATGTTTTACAATTTTTTATGCGCTGCAAGCCACCCAGAGTGGGTGGGGAAACCCAGCCAGATGGGTGGGGTATAAATATATCATCATCATCATCCAAATTAGCTGGCAAGTGCTCTTCCTATGTCTGCCTTTGGAGACAGTCTATAAATTTCTTTTGCTTCAGATTGTGTCCACCAGAGTTCTAACTTGAGCCTGCAGATCGGATCATATGGTGTGATTCACACTACTCTCCTATTATGTCGTCTTCACAAACTACCCTTTTATCCCTGGGGTGAATTCAAAGGCCCATTTTTCAACCTTTAAAGTCATGAATGGCCTGGGAGTGGGATGCCATACAAAAACATTTGAGATCTGAGATTAATGTCTAGGCCCTGATGTCTATCTGAACCACCACTGTTTTGTTTGGTGGGTTATGTATGAAACACAGGGCCTTTTCTGGAGAGACACTAATCTTATGGAAGTTCCTTCCCAGGGGAAATCCACCTTGCTCCATTGTTGGTTGTTTTTCATGAGGCAGTTAAGAGCCAACATTTCCAACAGCTATTTTGCTGTGGACTTGTTCATGATTTGATCTGCTGCTCGTGATACAGTTTTCTTTATGTGTTGTTTCTTTTTGTTGTTGTTGTTGTTCATATTAACTTGTCCTTTTATGTATGTTTTATATTGTTTTACAGTTGTTTGTAAGCCACTTCGATGATCCCACAGAGAAAAGGAGGGTAAAAATTCCCCAAAAGAAATAAATAAAGGAGTACCATTGCTGGCTCTATTTCCTCAAATCATGTCAACATTTCTAGTTTGAAGTGTGCCACTGCTCCATGTTGACACAATCTACACACTACAGGAAAAAGCAAAGTGGGGACGGACAGCTTCCATTATCTCTGCACTTGAATGGGCCTTCCTTCCTAGTACACATTTGCTGTTATAAACGTCAGCAGTTCTCAGTGAGTCACTGGAGGATATTTGATATAAAGCTAAAATAGGAAACTGTATATTCTTCTGATTAAATTGAGGGTGGTCAGAGAGGTTTGCGATTTCAGCTGCATCCAACAGGAAAGCTTGTAGGCCACAACAGATAATGCTTCCAGTAGGGTAGTGTCAAAGGAGGAGAGGATAAGGAGAAAAGATGAAAGATCAGGGTAACAATGAGCTATGTTTTTTTGAAAACAACTAATCTGAAAGAACTCAAGTCATTACATTCACCACAAATACAATGATAGCACTTTGCAAGGCACATTTCAAAATCATTATGTCATTATGTGAGAACGTTCAGAACATTACTGAAAAGCAAAAAATAAAAAAATTAAAATTTAGATGGGAGAAAGTTTATAGAGAACTAGGCTGCATACAGACCCTATATTTAAAGCACCCTCCCAAAGAATCCTGGGAAATTCTAGCAAGACCAAGAAAGCAGAACCCTCTGCACACCTACTTGGGAAAGCCCCATTAGCGGGGCCATGCAGGTAAGAAGCAGTGTCACACAAAGAGGAACAAGCATGTGTGTATGGCATCAGATGCAGGCAGCATGTTTATCTCCCTACCCAGAACCACAGGAAGCTGCCTTATATTGGGTCAGACCATTGGGTCCATCTAGCTCAGGAATGTCTACACTGACTGGCAGCAGCTCTCCAGATGTTCAGGCAGGAGTCTCTCCCAACCCTACTTGAGATGCTGGGGCCTTCTGCTTGCAAGACAGATGCTCTACCACTGAGCTAAGGCCTCTATAACGCCCACAAAGGCATCCTGTGCAAGTGTTTTCTGCTTTTAACTCTTACAGAGTAATGCCTTGCTGCTGGGGACCATTCAGTATGGGTAAAATCTCTCTCCAAAGACACTGCCTGAGTGCAGAGTATGTAAAGGTGCACTGCACCCCTCTAAGGCACATACATCTTGACTGTCATAAAGATAGGCACTTTAATAGTCTAAGCACTTTTCTTGGCAGTTTCTGTTTTTGTCATACTAGCTGCCATACCCAAGGAGTTGAGTGCGCCCAGGAAGATTTTGGACCCCACCCCCACATCAGTAGACTCTACCCACTCTGGGCCATATCAAAAACTGATATTAAAAATCTCCCTATTTTCATTCATGATTTGGCACGGGGCACAGGAAGGTGCTGCTTTAGGAATATAAACCAATGCTCCGTTGGTGTGCAGAACTGGTTGCACTGTTCTCTGAAGTGAACAGCTGAAACATTTGTCAAGAACGTAAGCTGCAAACAAGAAGTCTCCCATTTGTAGCAAATGCCATGGAAATGCTGGGTGGTCTTCATTTCTCTTCCCCATCTTTCCCGCAGATAACATGGTGATAGCACAGTAGCCTAATTTACAGGATTGCTGTGAGGGTTGCTCATGGTGAAAAACTTTGAACGCTTAAGGGAAATGCTATACAAATATAGAAATAAATTACACATGCTTGTTAACATAAACTGCAACTCCATCCAAGCTGTTTTTCTCAGAATAGACTTTAATAGCTGTTGCCAACTCCCTGTTTCCTCCAGGCGCCACTGCTTCAATGACAGGGCAAAAAAGGAAAGAAGGTCGTGAAGGCTTTCCTCATAAAAGGTTCATTACTAACAGCATCTTGACCTTTGTGTACAAAGGTTTCGCAAGAGTGAATGAATAAAATCCTTCTGTCTTATATTGTGACTAATTAGGCAACGCTAGCAAACTTAACCTTAGCATCTTCTTGGTTAGTGGGTTAGTAATTTTCTCTTCCAAGTGAGTAAAGGAGAAACATTTAACCAAAACTTGACTTTTTTCCTTTCACTTCAGGTGAAGGCTAGTAAAACATTTGTAGGGATAACTTATTCTTTAACATTTCTTGTATGGCTGAACTAGTCTGCTAATTTTGCGGGCTGGTGGCGGCAGCAGAGGAACCTACTATTTCACTGAGTTTGGCTTTTCTATTATTACTTTGGAATTTAACAGTACAATTATGGAAGACAGACAAAAAAATAAAATTTAAAAACAGCCTCTTTATTCATATGGCCATACCATAAGCAAGTTATTCTTTAGTAGGTTGTATATCATCTCATATTGCTTTGGAACCTTTCAACCCAATATTCTTAGTTCCATTACATTTTAGGGCAAACGGTGCCAACAGTATGCAGTTTAATTTGTAACAATTTCCAGAGAGATAATTTAATCTAATCTGTAGCATTGCAATTTTAAGGAAATACTCCTGTATTAATTAGAAAACACTGAATTTATCTTGGAAAATTATATGATAATACCTCAGTATAAATTTTAAAAAAATGTAAGTGTGAAAATGGTATGAGACACTTGGAAGAGAGATTCTTACTATCTCATAGCAGAGTTGGCACAATGACGATTGCTCAAAACACATTAAAACTTGATTAGACTTACATCTACCCACACCCACCTTTAAACAAACATTCCCCACAACAAAACTTAGGCTAGAATAAATCACAGACACTTAGCTTTGCAAGTAAGTGAAAGATTGTACTCACAGAGTTTCAGGAGTTACAGCAAACGATTGTTGGCAGTAGAAAAAAAGGAAAGGTTCCAAACAACTTAAAACAAAAGAACTTGATTTCCTTACAGAATAATCATGCAGGTGCAAGCTGTAAACATCTCTTATTTTGCTGACATGGTTTTCCTTCAGCAGGGAGCCATCTGCATGACTCCCTCCTTCCAGGAAGGAAGAGAGAAGGGAAAGGGAGGAAGAGGCAAAGGCTCCTGGGAGCCTGTCAAACCCTTCTCAATGGGAATTTAAGCTCAGTGCTTGGGTTAACCCTTTCATGCAAGTCAATAACTGTATATTGCAACAATAACAAATCTTGTTGATCTCTCAAAATGCTAATCTTCATGTAGCAGATGATGATAATGCTGGGGGACGGGACAGATAAGGTTGGCAAGCTAAAACACTTCTGTATACCAAGAAGCAAGTTCCACTGAGTATAATCTATTTTAAAAGTTTATTATTTAATTAGTTTATCACTTCCCATGAATTTAAAAAAAACAGTATAAACCCTACATAAAAACCATTATAAAATATAAACGCAGTCAAAAAAACCCCAACACCAGCACATACATAAAAATCAATCCAAACCCAAGGCAAGATACTAATTTGGATTAAGGTTTTAGAAGGCTTTCATAGAATCATAGAGTTGGAAGAGACCACAAGGGCCATCGAGTCCAACCCCCTGCCAAGCAGGGACATGGCCAGTCTACAACTCTCACTGCCCCTGACCATGTTCTCTGGGGCTGAGGGGGGTCCAGCAACAGGCTCCTTACACTAGCAGTGCAGGATGACAGCATAAACCATTTAAAATCGGAGAAAGGAGCAAATCATCGCCTTCTCTAGAAATTGGGCCTAGTCTTTCCTGCTCATAGTTATGTGGGGGGGGGAGCAATCTGCTTCCAAACTAGGACTAACTAGGCCCATTTTCAGGCCCCTTTTCTTTTTCAGTTGTAGAGTCCTAGAAAGGGAAGGGAGCTGCTGTTGCTCATTGCTCTTTTTTAAATAATTCTAAAAAAAAAACCCGAGGGAAATGTGTGACAGAACTTAGTTATTTGCGCGGGCCCAACGCCGGCCCTTTCAAACCACCCTTTCCTACGGAAGCCGCACGGAGGACAACCTTCCTGCATCAGCGGCCGTAAATGGAACAGCTCCCAGAGAGAGAGAATGTGCTAACCGCTACTAGAGCCTTCTGCGAATTCCTCCTCCTCCTCCCGGCCCCCACCTTCGCTCTCAACTCATGAAAGGGGCACTGACGTCACCCGCTCACTCTCCGCGAGGCTCGCTTCACGTCACGCCGCGCCCCGCGCGCCGTCCCTGCCGCCGGGCCAATCACACGCGGAGAAGGTTACCGGCCTATTTCCACCCCTCCCTCTCTCCCTCCCTCCCCCTTCCCACAGCCTCTCTCTTTCGCCTGAGCGGAGGGGAGGAGATAGTGCGCGAGGCGCTTTTCGGGGAGGGGGGAGAGGGGGCGAGTCTCCAGGCGTCGACCAATATCTTCCGCCGCCGGGGGAGGGACTTCCGCCCGGAGCCGGAAGCGGGGCTCGTGGGTCTCCCTGGCGCTCTCTCTCTCTCTCTCTTTCCCTCGCGCTCCGTCTCTCTCTCTCTGTCTCTCCCTCTCATATGCGAGCGAATTGTCTCCGCTGCTTCTTGGCGCCCAAAAGCCCCGGGGCCCGGACACCCGCCGCCGCCGCCGCCGCTCTCTCTTCCTCCTCCCGCCTCTCCGCGCCCTTCCCTCCCCGCTTGTCGCTCCTCCTCCTCCCCGCCGCCGCCGCCGCCGCCACTCCTCCTCCTCCCCCGCCTGGGCCCCGCTGCCGCCCCCCGCCGCCCTCTCTCTCCGTCTTTCTCTTTCTCTCTCACCCCTTCCTGGGATTCGGCAGCGGCGGCGGCGGAGGAAGAACGAGAAGGAGGCGGCGGCGGGAGACGAAGACGGAGGCCGAGAGCAGCAGCAGCAGCGGCGGCGGCAGCGAAGGATCCCTCAGGCCGGCCTCCGAGCGCGATCCCTCCCGGCCCGCCGGGGCCTTGCTGGCTGTTGGCTTGACAGGTGAGTGGAGGCCGCGTTCAGCAGCAGTCAAGTGGCAGCAGCAGGGCCGCCGCCGCCGCTTCCTCCCGTCACCGCCCCGAGCCGCCGCCATTTTCTCACCCGAGGCCGCTCGCGGTGGGGGGCGGGGCTGGCCGCTGCAGGGAACTGGCCCCGGTTTCGTGGCCTTGCTCCTGCCGGGAGCTCCGCACTGCGTCGGCTTCGGCCTGGTCGCCGGGAGGGAAGCGCTGGGCCCGGCGGCGGGCGGCGGCATCTTCACGTGTTTCGTTTCGTTTCCTTCTCCCTCCTACACCCTCGGATTTGGTGTGGGGGGAGAAGGAGGGAGAGATCGCCCTTTTAAGTTGATCCCCGGCTGGCCGAAAACGGAGGACACCCCACCCCCATTGGGGACCCGCCCCAAGCGGCAAGCCAAAGCTCCCCCTCTCTTCGTTTCCTCAAGCTCCCCCCAAACCCCCACCGCCATAGTCCTCCTTGACTCACACCCTTATCTAAAGTTAGGAATTCAAATACACACGCCCTTCTTCCATACTTGCAATGGGTATGATTTAAGTGTGACAGGAGGGTGGCTTTCTACTACTTTATCAGCGTCTCCGGGCCGTGATTTTGATCATTTGGCGACTTTTGCCGAACTTTAAAGCAGGCAGTGAGTTTGCTGCAGTTCAGTTGAACGCG